ACTGAACTATGCAGACAATTGTTCATAGGCATTTCCACCCTCTTTATAGACTGTTCTGATTTTTTTTTGTAAAACAGAGAGAAAATACTAAGTTCCCATGGATTCTTATTTTCTAACAGAAATTATAAGCACGAAAAGAGAAGATCAGATCTTGCTCCTAGGCAGTTAAGACACCACAGAGTACAGATCAGGTTCATCTCAGAACTTCTGTTCAGTGATGACTATTTTTGGAGTACAAACTTTTACTGTATTTACCTCCTTGCTTAGTTGTCTTCCTATAAAGTGAATACAAACAGATATTTTTGATAACCATAATGAATAACATTTAACAATAATTTTATATTTCAATATCAGACAACTTGATGGTATTTTTATGAATATACCTGTTATTTACAAGATGGTGAGGGTTTTCATGTGATATATTATTACTCTGAAATAAAATTTACATATTGCATTGGAATAAGTCTTAACATTGACTGAGATCTTACAATAAGAGTAAAATATATACCATTTATCTTCATTTTCATTTCTGTTACTACCATAACTCACCTCTCCAGATACTGGTGTCTCATGTAGATTAGCAAAGATCTCAAGATCATGACGGATAAAATTGTTGCCACTGGAACTCGGGAACTCCATCTGACTTATGAGAATTAAGGTTTAAGGTAGAATGTGTTTGAGAAGAAAAAATATCTGAAGAAAAAGACATGTGATCTGGTGTTTCACAGTTTGTTAAAAGATTGAAAATTTAATTACCCATGAATTAGAAACAATTTCTTTGTGTGCACACCAAATTTAAATGCAATGGCCAACAGTTCATCAAACCAAACTAAAAAGTCTATTTATTTACTATCCATTATATAACTACTTCTTTTAGTTATCCTAAGTCTTATTTTTGATGTAACACATTTTCAGAATGTTATGTTTCAGCCTTCTGGTGAACACATATATTTTAGAGAAAACTGTCTGGAAAATGATTTCCTAGAGACTCCACTTTGTTTTCAGAGACTGAAATACATTTCTAAGTCTTTTCTTGCTTGTTGAGATATATTGAACAACTACATTTTTCTCTTTTGTGAAGTTACTCTCATGTTTTAAAAATGGCCTTTCTATTTTAGAACTGCGTTTATCGAAAAACATTTTTTCTATTTGTAGTTTTGTGTTTAGTAATAGGTCAAAGCCTCTGGGGTTTCACACTTGAATGAATTACATCCTGGGGAATCCTGTGTACTGAGAAAGCCAGACTAATTAACATAATCAAACATGTCTCAGTAAAACCAGTATCTAAAACTACAGTGATGTCATATCCCATCACAACACCCTCTTAAAATGCTAGAATGTACAAACTGGCAATGCAAGTGGGGTAAGGACTACATACATGAGGTCTTTATTCCTTACCATTATGATATATGTGGTTTTTAACTGTCAGTCTGGAAGACATTCTTATAAGAAAGTGAATAACTCTGTAGCTGAATATATAATTATAAAACATTTTGGGTTTATAGATTAATATATTTTAACACTGGAGCCATGGCTGACTTGAACCGAATCTCAAGGATCATCAGATTTTGCTCAGTGGCTTCTGGACCAAACCCAGAACATACAAGTGACCAAGACCTAAAGACTTTAAAGGTGAGCAGTTTTGCTCCCTCTTTAGGGATTTCAATCATTAATTGCTTCAAAGTAAGATTATTCTTTTTCTGTTCTGAATTCATCTTTTATCAGGTTCCAGTCTTGCTGATTCACTACCTCTCTAATTATTTTAAACTTTAAAATTTTTGCCTTAACTTCACAATTGCTTTTACTTCTTGCATGTGTCTAAAGACCTTTCAGGTTTTTTAAGATGAAGTTTAATCATACATTAAAAAAATATTCCAAGCTGGAACATTCTTGTAGTTCTTTTCAGAAACCTTTCAAATCTGTCAGCTGCCTTTTCACAGAATGATTAAACATACTGAACCATAATGTGTTTATGATTGGGCATACTAAAATGATAATAATAACTTCTGATGACTACAATTATGATTAGTTTGTCTTAATATTCCAGAATAATGTTATCACACCAAAAAGCACATTAGTTAATCCTTCCACCCACATATGCAGTTTGGTTCCTCTGTGTGAATAACTTGAAGTAGCTACATTATCTTGCATTCAATTGTATAAATTATGGGTAAATAAACTGAGATAGTCTATAATATTGATCTATCTAATCTCTTGTTGTCCTAACATACAAAGTTTTTCAATTATCCCCATTTTTGGGAAAAAAAAAAAAAAAAGCCATCATGATTCACATTAGGAGGATCTTCTTCCAGTAACCTTAAAGCATTTTTGCCTCACAGGCTACTCCTGGTAAATGTTTCTCAAGCTCAAAAATACAAGTGATTTACTTTCATATATACCTAAATCGTAGTTGAACCAGAGATATAGTAGATCTCCAGACTGCTGGTTATAAAGAAAATCAGAGATTGGCATTAGAATGTTTTGGTGAAAACGTTTTTTGAACATACTGATGCTTTCCATTTGTAAAGAATGTACTTCAATTACCCTCCAATACTACTGAAAATTAATGATGCAGCTCAGTTTTGGATGCATATGGCACACACTTACCAGCTATCATGTTTTGAATTATGAGCAATATTATTTATTTTTTTATCCAGGTATGTGAGGCATATATAAATAAACAACATTAATATTTGAGACAGAAACTCTCTGGATTCTAGTTCTAAAATAGATGTTCAAACAAGTCTCACCTTTCAATCTACTGTAACTGCCAGAAGTATCAAAAGATACCATGAAGACCTTCTAAATATAGGATATAGTCATTGGTTTAGGTTTATATAATAAGCAGGTAAGTCTATCAGGAATGATATGGAAAGACTAAGAAGACGGTAATTTAAAACACTAGTGAATTAAAACATTTATAATAATTCAGAAATATTTTGTCAAAGTTTGAAGTCAACAGTATATGCTTGAGTGTTTTGTTGCATTGGAACCTTTTATAAATCAAGGTGGGTTGTTTGAATTCACTCAGAAGAAAATATTTTAATATTCAACACTACCAGCAGAAAATTTTCAGAAGTTTGAAAACAGTCTCATTTAGCAGAATAAAATAATGTAACAGTAAACTGACTACCTAAAGCACAAGCAAGCATGTATTTTTCCCACAAGGATTTTGAGAAGCTTGAACTCTGCATATTTAAAGTATAGCCTGCATTTATAATTAATAGAATTGTTCCTATTGAAGGCATGGAGAGTTTGAGGTGGTAGTTTCAACTAACAGCATCATAAGAAAAATGCATTTGCCTCAGTGCAAATTAAATTAGACCAATTCACTGTTGAAGTACATAGTGCACAAAGATAAATAGCTCCTGGAGAAGCAGCCTCAGTGCATACTCATTTTAATGGGAAAGATAGGAATCGACTTTTCTAAATATACAAAGAAAGTACTGCACTGATTCTGTAGAGTACCTGCATTGACAGACTGTCCCTGAGCAAATAGAGGGATTCACTAGTTTGTTTATTATTGTGTTTTCGGCTGAGGGTTTTAACAAGTTTCTTTCATGATCATTGTTGACATTCAGGGCTACAGAGACAACAAAAACAAAAGGATCAACTTCTTGCAAAGTGGACCTAGAAACTTAGAGCATCCCTTCCTTCATGTAACTGCTACTAATTTAAAAAGTTCAGGGAACAAAAGGAAAATTTGCTAGAGATATCCTCGTGCATTCTTTGCCATACACTTGATAGGTATCAACAAAGAAATCCCAGCTGGCTCTAAAATATGTGGTAGGCATTAATATGTGGTAGGCATTCTCCAGGTGTAGCTCTTCCTGCCAGATCATTCATTTTCTTTGTGCACAAACCATACGGATTCTCACAAGAATTTCTCAAACAATATTTCTCTTTATCAACTCATAAAACCTTGCTAAGGAAAGCACCACCTGGTTTGCTTGAAATGTTTGGTTTCTCTGCAATAAATGTAATCATGTCACTTTCCTACTGCCACCTGTACTAGTAACCTTATTCTCTGTCCCCCCTCTAGTTCTAATGAATAACTTTCTGGTTTCCCTCTTAAGATGTTCCTTCCCTTCTTTCTTCTCATAATCCCTTCCACTCTCCTTCCCAGTCAAACTTTCAGACTTTTTAGGCTTCCCTATTAGCCCACCCTACGGCTCTAGATCATCTTTCTTTTCTGAAAAAGTCAAATAGAACAGGATATACTTTTTCTGTGTCAATCAGCGCTGTACTTTCAAAGAAGAGACTGAAACACAGAGATGTGTTTCTCACCTCCTCTCGCCCATTTTCTAAGGAAAAGCCTACCACCAGACCTACAGGCAAACCCTCTTTGCCCAGCCTTTTCCGAGACCCGAGGTTCAGTGAGTTCACCCGACTTCTCTGACGGTCGCTGCCCAGCGCAGGCACCGTCTCCGCCGCCCCTCTCCCGGCGGGAGGGAAGGCGCTCCGTTCCGGGCACGGCCTTCCCCCGCCAGCCCCAGCGCAGCCCCCCCGCGCCCGGGGCAGCCCCTCCAGGGCCCCCCTCGCCGCCGCCGCCGCCGCCGCCGCCGCGCCCGGTCCCGCCCCGCGCCCTCCGCGGCGCCCGCGCTCTCAGGGGGGCGGCCCCGGCCCAGCCTCCCGCCCGCCCCGCCGGCGGCCGCGGCGCGCCCCGAGCCCGGCATGCGTCCGGCAGCGGAGTGCCGGCTGCTGCCAGGAGCCGGGGGCAGGCGGGCGGGCAGGGGGGCTCCCGCCGCCGCCGCGGCTCGGCGCCGCCGCCGCGGCTGGGATTAGGCTCCCGCTGGGCTGCCATGCGGAGCGGCGGGGCGGGCGCGGCGGGGCCCAGCGGGAGGGCGCCGGGGGCCGCCAGGCGCTGAGGCGGGCGGCGGGCGAGGAGCCGCCGGAGCTCTCCAGGGTGCTGGGGCGCTGCCCCCCGCCCGCGGAGCCGCGTCCCCGAGCCCGCCGAGCCGCTCCGATGCCGCCGACACCGCCGCTGCCGGGCTCCGCCGCGTCTCCGAGCGGCATGGCCAGGATTAGGTACCTCCGCGCGGCTGTCTCGGGCTTTTATCTGTGGGAAGCTGCGGTGCTGCTCAGGTGAGTTGCTTTCTGCGAGGAACTAAAGGTGTCCCCCTTCCCAGTTTTCGGGCAGCTGAAATACCTGGGACGGGTGCGGGCAGGCGCCGCGGTCACCGCCTTGCCTCACCATGAGCACCCGGCTACCCTGGGCAGCCAGGCTGTGGGCACAGAAAATAAGTGCGTGAGCTCCACGCTTACTGAACGGCTTCTCAACATTGCTCTGTCCCGAATCTCATTTTGCATTTTACAAGCAGGATGTGTGCTTCCGTCACTTGCTCTCAGATAGAGTTTTCCTATAAGATCTGTGAATTTTATCACCGCTTTTAGCAGGAATTATAACATCAATGATCTTGAAAATTCTTAAGGTGCAACATGTCTATATGTAAAAGTTACAGAAGATGATCTGAGTTGGGAATGTATAGACTTCTTTATTATTGTCCGTTCTTTTCAGCAAAAGGAAAATCACAGATTGCGTTAGGTCAGTAGTCTGTGCAGAAACAGAAAAACAGTAGATAAGTGAAGAGAGGATATGGTCTGCAGAAGTTCCCTACAGAAGAGGGAAAGCATTTGCTGTACTACCGACAGTCTAGGATTTGTATTATGAAAGATGGCAACATATCCATAAATTATGACCTGAGTAGAAGACTGAGGTTCATATGGCTTTCTCTGCCCAGCACACTCTTTCTGGGCAAAGTGATGTTATTGTATCAATGTAAGCATTATTTTTACACACAGCTCTGAAGTGTGGTGATACCAGGCTAAAATGAACTTGAACTCTCCATGAGGGAAAAGTTTAAAAGAAAAATCACACATGTAAAGAGACTTCAGCGTCATCATATATTCACTGCTAATGCAGTTAGGCATGCCTGTTATCAACAAACATTCTAGCTCTGTATCACAATAAACAAACTATGGCATATAACGTGACAGTGCCAGACTATTTTAAGAATCACATTGTTATTTAACAAAGACAAAAAAGGAAACTTAAATTTGAAAAGAGAGTTGGGGATTGTACATGTAAGTGATTTAAACCATGAAGTTAAGTCAGCAGCATGTAGTGCCCCACAATGATGGCACACTTCACAAGTGCTCACAGGTTTATAGCAAACCTTTCCTTTTTGAAGTTAATTTAATGACATGCTTTGTATCAACATATGTAATATAAATAGTTTATACTGTGATTTTATTGTAATTGTGCCAAAAGTAAGAGATTTTAAGAAACTTGGTCACATGGTATGAGATTGACGTTGCAAGGAAAGAGTCAATGCATGTATATTACACTTTAAATTTTGCAGGGAGTATTTAATGTTCAGTGTAGGTGACCAAACACTTGAGTAGTGTAGGCAATACAAACAGTACTATGCTATTATTATTCTATTTCAATGTATTTATGGAACTTATTTTTCCTCTGCATATTATTCCATGCAAATGCCATTCTACTGTTGAATTGTTCATCCTTTATTTTAACTATATAAGAGCATTTATTCTAAGGGGGGAGGGGAAAGTCAGTTATGAAAAGCATATATACACATAAATCTAGACTATTACTGAATTGTTTCTAAATGTATGCAGATATATTATTTTGCATAAATTCAACCTATTCTCTTCAACATCCAGGTAACTGTGGTATTGTAATAGCCTTTTGCTCATAGTCACTTTATGACAATGAACATGGTTACTGTGCACAAGGACTATATGGCTGGAGAAAGAGTTCAGAAAGCTTCTCAGAATCCATGTTTATCTTACATATCAATCTCAAGATAGAGACTGCTGATGACTTTAGGTCTAAAAATGATACATGAGAAACCGGAATCAGTTTAAAACACATAGGAGTCTTCTCCATGCTTTAAAAATGGGGGAAAAAAAGTAAAAAAAAAAAATTAAAACATTAAAACCTGTAAAATTCTCAATTCTCCTGGACCCATTAATTCTATTTCTTTTCCAAGTTAAGCCTTGTGAAATGATTTCCATTGGAACAAAGGGAACTGGGAATAGTAGAAGGCTGCTTCCACTCTCTGTTAGACACAGACCCCAGCCTTAGCACCTATATAACACTTGATGAGAAGATGGATGCACTATGGATTTCTAGGAATAGTCAAACCTTACATGGTTTACTTGCTCACACATTTTGGAAGAAATTGTGTTATTTTCTCTTACATTGTGCAACTTTGAAACTTTTCTGCTCTTCATTAAGAAACTGAAGGCTGTGTGAGAAAGTGAATGAAACTAACAAGAAAAGCCTTCATTACTTGTCCAACAGCCCTGAGGCTATTTAAAATTAGTGTTTAAATTATATGCCTGTGAAGATAGAAAAAAGGATGTTTTTTAGTGTAAATTTAGACTTGCTACTTTAATGAGCAAAGTCTGGAGATGCATGCTTAATAAGAAGAAACTTCACCTGATTTATTTTTTTTTAAATAATTCATTTTACATTCCACATCAAAAGATCCTTCAAATTGCAATGGCTGAAACAAGATGTATATTGGTCATTATAAGACCAACCTTTTGATCTCCAAAAGATATTGTAGAAAAAATAGAATTAGAAGAGCAACGGAGCTGGGAAAGGGTCTAGAGAGCAAGTCTTGTGAGGACTGGCTGAGGGAGCTGGGGCTGTTTAATCTGGAGAAAAGGGGGCTCAGGGGAGACCTTACTGGTCTCTACAACAGCTTGAAAGAAGGCTGTAGCCAGGTGGGGATTAGCCTGTTCTCCCAGGCAACCAGTGACAGGACAAGGGGAAATGACTTCAAGCTGTGCCAGGGAAGATTCACATTGGATATCAGGAAGAATTTCTTCATGGAAAGGGTGGTCAAGCGTTGGAATGGGCTGCCCAGGGGGGTGGTGGAGTCACCATGCCTGGAGGCATTCAAGAAAGGGACATGGCACTTAGGGCTGTGGTCAAGTTGAGAAGGTGGTGTTCAGTCAAAGATTGTACTTCATGATCTTGGGATCTTTTCCAACTTTATTTATTCTGTGATTATCTGTAGTCTTCCATAATATTGTACGTGTTTGTACTGTTATGTCATAGATTAATACACATACTGATAATGTATTAATAGATTTTAAACATGAAAAGCAACGGTTCAAGCACATAACACTCTGGTTTATGCAATATATTTGAGGATAGAGAGAAAATCTCCTATCAGACCCAAAATAAAAAAAAATATTACTTATTAATATTACTGCCAGTCCAAACCTGAGTGTGATACTAAGAGGGTCCAGGTGCAAAAAAGAGGCAAAATCAAGGGAAAACAATGTAATGTAGCCTTAAAACAACTGTAGTTTACTACCAAAGAAAGAAAAAAATTCTGAGATATAGTTTGAAGATATAATAATATCTGAGTATTCTTTTGAGTTTTCAATAAAATAATAATGTCAGCAAAAAATTCCTTAGTTTTGCCTGAATTCCAAGAAGGTGTGATGAAAGCAAGATCATATTTGTAGAATAAATGTGAAGATCAGATTTATGGGTCAAAAACAGTTTCATAACAGCTCAGGAACTTTCATGGACACCAGCACTGATTTATTAGAACTATGCAGTCTGGGACTTGACAAGGATTTGCTTTTTCCTCGAAGGATGTAGTGTATCTATTTTATATATAGACCTGTGTATGAGGACAGAACAGGACGAAAGGCTAGGTTGCACTGGAGAAATGCAAAATAGATTCTCCCTATGTGGTATTTATTTATTTATCCATATTAGCATAGACCAAGAATCATGCTATGATTAGGTTATTGCCTCTTTCCTTGATCTTTTCACTACTCCATTGGACTTATATTGAAGGAAACGGTATCACAGACCCAGATAATTGCTCTTAAAAACTAGATTTTTGTGGGCAAAACCTCCATGCAACCTAACTCTGGGGCATATCTGAGTTTAAGGTTAACTGATTTTGAAATTATTCCTGCATTTCATTACAAATGATTTCAGGTGAATAGCTATAAGAAGCAGAAGTCATTATCCTTTAAGCCAATATTAGTTCCTTCAACTAATGAAAGTGAAAAAATACAACAGCTAAAAACTATTAAATCTGACATAGCATCACAAACATCTTTGAAAATAAAGATTTTTCAGATGTTCTAATGATGCTTCAGTAGCTTATTAATATGTTAGTAATGAGACTTATAATGCTACTCAAGAAATAAAAAGTGTCTGTCCAAATCAAGATATGAATAAAAGCATGTAAAAGAAAATCTACTAATGCAAGATGACAGCACTGGGGCACAATACCTTTCCTCAGCAGCCCAGACTTAATTTGAAATATAGTTTCTGTGGAATAAATCAGCTGACAGACTCCAGGTCCGATGAAAAGCACTTAGCACATCTCAGGGAGTAGCAAAGGAAGGGTAGGCGAGCTGGAAGTTCAGACTCACAGCAAGGCAGGAAGAAACAGGATTCTGCCATAAAAGTTTGCAGTCCCACAGCACTTGGGCAAGAGAACAGTTGGACAGTTCAAAAGTTCAAATTGATGGGCAAAGGTGGTAGTGAAGAGGTATGCCCGAGGTCAAAGACAAAGGGTCAGGTCAGCAGGTCACGATCAAAATTGTGAAGGTACAAGACTGGGTGAAAGTATGCTTGCACACTAGCTCATGCAGAGAATCTCCCCAGTGCTTCTGAAAGTGAAAAAAAAAAAAAAAAGGAAAAACAAACATGATTACGAGAAACAAAAACAAGCCGTCAGAGAAGAGAGGTGAACCCCTGCTGAGAGTTCTACAAAACAAATACAAACAGCTCTGTTTCAAAGCTGAGCTACCAGAGGTCACACTGAGCCCAGTCAGTCAAACTCCTGTGAGGAAGGATCCTTCTAGAAGTCTAGGAGAGCATCAGTACCTTTAGAGAAGCATTGTACTTTCCAAAATTCAGACGAAAGTGACAAAAGGGGGTTTAGTGACCAAGAATATGTAATTCAAATTCTCTTGTATTTCAACTATACCACTGAAGAAACTGAAATCCTTTTGTACCAAATAGGAGTTTCTTAATGAGTACAAATTTGGTAAGGGCTTTAGCTATCCCTTTTTTG